TTGAACACGGCATGGCCTACACAATGCGGCACATTCCTTACCGATGTTCTTTATGGAATCCACCAGGTGCAATAGGTTGTGCAGCTTTATGTCCATCTCATTCACGGACAGACAAAGCTCGACTAGGCATACAGCCTCCACCACGCGCTGCTCAAGGGCGTCCACCTCACCCCTGCGCAAGCAGCATGACAAAACAGGAAAAGAAAGCAGACAGAGGATACTAAGCATGGGTCTGGTGGATCGCTGTATGCACACCACATTTTTGGGATACATCTACACAAATTTAAACCTGCCCGTGGTCTCACCCTTCTAACACCTTCTGCCACAAGTCGCCACATGCCTGAAGGAGCCGCAGGTATGCCTCCTGTACAGGCTCAGGAAATCGTGCAGATGTGATGACGTACGAGCCGATGGGACCGGCGAGCAGAAAGTAAGTATGCGTCTTGGCGGCCTTCCCTGCACCGGTAAGGCGCTGGAGTCTAGACGTGAGAGCCGCTGGTATCACCCGTACGACTTCCTGCAATGCGGCCCTGATCCTGGCCAGCTGGGCACCATCTGCATACATTACAGATTAGTGTGTCTCCTGTAAGAATTCCGTAGTAGAGCCTATGATGGGGGGGTCCATGTGTAAATTAGTCCACTAGTAGTTATTGCATTAACCCTTAAGTTATTCATCATGCATAATGGGCAAGTCATATGAGTTCCTTACCAGCACGGCCAGGGTTTGGGCAAGTGCAGCCTTGACAGCTGGTGGCTCCTGAACACCTGCCGTGAGCTCCTGCCGTGTTCGAAATGGAGGTGGTCCTTCGTCAGTGCCACAAGCCGTTGCTAACCTGCACACAGCACGGGTGGACCCACAAGGGAGGGCCCAGGCTTTTTATCTAACATGTCAGAATTAGAGAGAAAGAAAGACAACTTAGGGTTTAGAGAGAAGAGAATACAACTGGTGCAGCCCCATCTCCGTACCTGTGCAGATCAGCAACATCAGTACGCCAGGGATGACCTGGCGAGAGCCAGCGATGATGGTTACACCAAACCGTCTTGGTGCCCACCCTGTGCCCGACAGCACAGCACTTGAAGCAGCCAGACGGTGAGGGGGTGCCCTTGAGGCCGAGATGCTTCTGGAAGCCCTTATAGTCCATCACAAGACCCACGTTAGCAACATACAGTGGGAACTCCTCACCAGTTCTTGCGTCCGTTACCACCACACCTTCGGTAATCAGTGTCAGTAAGTCATCCGTGATGAGTAGAAGGGTATGATTGGGGTCGAAATACTCCGCTTGCTTCTGGCCCGTCAGCTTGACGTTTCCCGCCGTTACACACAAGATTGTGCAATATCCCAGCAGGTACCGCTTTTCCGGAGGCGCGTTGACAACGAGTAGAAGCCACGCCGTGCTTGAGCGTTCTTGCTCGTCTGCAGGCACCTGGCAGGCAGGAGGTTGGTTAATAGGGATGACAGTGAACATGGCAATATTCGATCCTCCGGCCTACCCAACCATCCCAAATCCAAGCAAACTCACCACAAACGCGTCGGAGGCAATCATTGTGACGAGGCAGCGGGGATCACGGAAACGGGGGTCCGAGGCCAGCAGTTCCTGGACTACAGCTGCATCACAAATGTCCCTCAGCTGCCCATTGCGCCTCATCCGATCTGGGCTCTGCCAGCTGGAGAACTCCTCCGCGAGCTGCTTGTTGCTGAAGACACGCCCGCAGAACCCGCCAAT